CCTTGGCAATATGGTCGTTCAACAAGACATGATGGGAGAACCAGCACCTATTCACTTGTGTCGAATGGACGTATGTATGTCCTTCATCATATGTCACTATCTCAAGTCAATGAGATGTATCAAAAGATGAGTGAGTTGAGGGATAAAAGGAAGAAAGAGGAGGGACATGTGGAGGTCGAGGGCCATGAAAAGGAAGAAAGAAGGAAGTTGAAAGGAAAGGCCCAAGTGTTATTGGTTAAGTATAAAGAGATAAGGGAGGAAGTGGAGGCCAAGAGTTCATTGATCCTTATCACACATAGGGGTCATGTGTTGCAAACTAATCAATCTCATTCTTCTCTCCCGCATTCTATTTCTTTCTTTTGCAGAATTATAATGATGTCCTTCTAAAGGGACTGCTAAGTGGATTGCCCCCTCGCGAGGAATTGAACATCAAATTTACTTCGTGTTGGGCTCACAATGGCCAAACAAAGTGGCTTATCGAAGTAATCCATAGGATATCAAAGAGCTACCAAGGAAAGTTGAGGAACTCCACAACAAGGGTTATGTGAGAGAAAGTACAAGTATGTGCACTGTTCCATTTCTCTTGATTCCAAAGAAAGATAGAGCATGACGCATGTGTGTTTATTGTCGGGCCATCAACAAAATCATCTTAAGGTATCGACATCCTATCCCTAGATTAGATGATATGATTGATGAGCTCAATGGTCATTGTGTGTTTTCAAAGAAAGCTCATTTCTCTCCCTGTCATAAATGTGATGATGTTTCCAATGTGACATCTTTGTTTGATGAAAATGTTGTTAAATTGTTTGAGAATCCACTATGGTGTGATAACATACTTTCCAAAGGTGGAAATCTCATAAATGTTGTTAAATTGTTTAAGAATCCATTATGGTGTGATGACACACTTTCCAAAGATGGAAATCTCTTTTGTGAAGATGATAGTACATTTATTGGAAAGAGTAGTGTTAAGGTGAGAGTGGATGTTTATGTGCTAACTTTTACTTCTCCCTTGTTTGTTCCAATGCTTCGTATGATTTGTGAGTCAGTAGTATCTAAAGTGGAGGCTAAACTTGAGAACACCTTGATTGAAGTTAAATTATGTGACATCTCTCTCTACTATGTGTTTACATATGATGATGCTCACGCTTTTGAGTGGAGTATGTTTTTAGAAGGTAAGAGTTCCAATCGGGCAAAAGGGGGTGTACTTGATCCAAGTTCATGGATTTCCTTTCTATTTGACCCCGGCAGTGAATTAAATTGTGACATTTGTATAGTGATGCTTGGTCAAGATGGCAGGCATCATTTGGATAAAATTGTTGACACCTTTCCATATGATTGTATTTTTTGTAAATACAATATAAATACAGATGAAATAGAAATAAAATTTGAAATGAATACAGATTACACCTAAAATACAAAAATGAAACAAATACAAGTTACACCTAAATTACAAAATGAAACAAATACACAATTTGAAATAAATGCTACCTTGAAAATAAATACAAGTTACACCTAAAAAACCCAAACTTAGCAAGATACCACCTGGATTTTGAATGAATACAAACTACAACTGACCGTAAAATATTAAAGAATACAATTTGATAATTTAGATACAATGTACTAAAAATCAGATGGTATTCAATTTGATGATATGAATGTTAATGGTGATTACTACTATATCTCAAATACAAAACATATCACAAAAAATTCAAACAGTTCAATTCTGAAAAATCCCAAATACACAATATTTCGAAAATCTCAAAAGATATCTAATGATAATGTATTTACATGTATCAATGGGTGCAAATATTTTGAATGATTGATGAGACTTTTTTAAAAAAAAAAGATGAATGTCGAAGAGAGTTACTATGGAGTCGGGTTCAACAAGGAAAGGTTTAGGTGATTTGAAGTGAGAGAACTTGGGTAAAAACGTGAAAGAGAAAAGTGGGTAATGGAGTGTAAAAAAGGTCAGAGAGAAAAGTGGGTAATGGAGTCAAATTAACCCAAATGTCTATCCAAGTTGAGAAATAAAAGGAAGGGAAATGAATGATATTAGGGTACACTTTATTTGTTATATAATTAACATATTGATATTTTTAATAATTATTTTAAAATGTAGTTATTTTTAATAAATATGTTAGTTATTTTGATTAGTTGGCTAATTTTCCCCTTACTAATGGCCTACACCTAGACTCAAAAGGCTTCCTTCAAAGGAACAAGACACACATAAAATCCCTTAAATTTACCTTAACATTTTTTCATATTGTGCACCCTCATCTCCATAAACCCATAAATCTAGATAATGGAAGATAATCATAAATCTAGATACAATGAGAGGAGGAAAATCCATTATAAATTCCTACTTAACAGAGATTTTAAAATTGAGAAATTTAAAAAAGGAGGAGGAGAAGAAGAAGAGAATAGGGAGAGAAGAGAGAATAATTTAGGAGAATTAAAGGTAAAATAAAAGGGTGAATATTATAGATATTTTAGTGGAGCGGATCATTAAATGGATATATATTTTTTTCTTAAAATTTTGGTTAGAAATAAAAATTTCACGTCAGTTAACAATTTGAGATTTCGGGACGATGACCTGAAGTGCTAATAATAGAGTTTGAAATTTAATATTTTTATGGATTTAGGTGATTTTGTTAATACATATCATGTTTTAGCTATTCTAATTTGTACAAATTTACCGTTAATCATTTGTCTTCTTCATTCCTCCGATAGAGAGGTGGACCAAGAATTTGAAGTTTATGACTTTCTATATCGATCTCATGTTAATTCTAAACTAGAAACTTGTTCACACACTACAAAAAAAAACGGAAATATTGCGGCGGTTCTATTACGGCGGTTTCTAAG